ATACGTGCATAGAGAATAGCACATAAAAAACTCTGCTGTCTATCATATTTGGGTTTCATCAGTCTTTTAAAGGTACAACGGGACATCAAGTCTTCTTCTCAAGAACTGGCAAGTCTTCAAATGGCAGCAGGAAAATGGTTGTAGTCATCAAGCATCATTATGGCAGTCTTTCTGTATGTTAACAAAAATTGGAAATTTATCAATAAAAAAACGAATCTTTCAAACGATGAATTTTAAGTTGTTTCAAATTTGCACTTAAGCATTTAAAAACTTCATTGCCAGTAAATCTTCCATTAATCACAGCTGGGAAAGACTTTAACACATTGAAAAAATCTTTTTCTCATGACTTTCAACGAATTTACAAGTTCCCTGTTGATCTTTCTGAGGCAATTTGGAAGATTCGGGAAGGGGAAAACATCCGTCTGAACAGTTTGTAGTGCAGCGCTAGCGACGTTGTGGTCGATGAGGAATAGTAGTAAACAAAACTCTGCAAAATGAAATGGCAGCCGAATTTGTAGCCGAAGTGAAAAAAAAAATCATCACGTTCTTGAGTTGTCGAAGCCGAAGCTTAACTAGCTCTTTAGACTTAACATGCTTCACAATGTCGATTCTTCCACGCACAGTCTGCAACAAAATGCGTTATTTACTTTGAAGGTTTTTTAACTTATTCGTGTAGCAGCTGAAACTATTGAGGCACTACGTTTTTTGGAACTCATTCGTAAACAACGACGTATTAGAAAATTTGTTTGTAGGCAGTGAAAAAAAAAAAAAAAACAGGAATGCGAAATCCACGCTCGCTGAATCCGAGCTGAGTAAAAGATGAGGTTTCATTCCACAAGTTAACAGCGCATGCGTGCTGGTTTAGCGGCGAGTTGGGAGAACCCGCAGGGTACTGGCTTTCCGATCGTCGGTATAGTTGGCGGTTTTTAAAAACGATTGCACTTGGCGAAAAAATATAAAATTTCGAAACAAATCACTTTAACAATACTTGAAAAAGAAAAAAATCATTAAAAAGGATTATGATGTAAAATCGATAAGACAAAACGCTTTTGTAAAATTAGACAAATTCACAAAAAGTTGGCGGTAGGACTATAGTATAAATTTTGGTCGTTTGTTGGGTGTCATGTCAATACCGATAGGGATTATGTGGCGATGTAAGGCGGTATGAATTATATTTCTGCTAGCGAAGCAAACAATTCATTCATGGATAAGGGCAACATGTTTATTTATCCTTGTTCTTATTTGTAGAGCTAGTTCATGGTTCTTTAGTATGATTTTGTGTTAGTTTGAAATTTTTGAAATTTATTTTTTGTTTGTGTCTAACTGTGCCATTCGTAGTTTTTTAAGTTGAACATAACGCTGTGTGCATGGTATTATTTGAAATTTATTGTTGTTTCTTTTATAAAGCTCGGAGTGCGTAGACGTAGTTCCTTCCTTGCCTAATGTGCAATCGGAGATTTTTTTAAGTTAACGGATGCGGGTGTACATGGTATTCTTGAAATGATTGTTGTTATTTAATTATTAAAGCGATGTCTGCGTAGTTGGTAGATTCATTCTTGCCTACATTGTGCATTGTAGTTTTTTTAAGTTAAAATTCGTTGTGACGTGGATTCTTGTCAAATATTTTTGGTTAGAAACTTACATTTTGACATCTAATGTTTTGTTTTTGTTTGGATTTGTTGTGTAGAATTGTGTGTTCAAATGTAGTTTTTGGAGAATGCTTTTAGGCTAAAAGTTGACAAAGGTAGACAAAAAATTTGTAGTAAGTATGGCAGCAGTGAGTTTCTAGACCAACAATCTTTGGCGACTTGAGGGCGCATATCAGAGTAGTTCCGAATTATTTTTTTAGTTTCTGCCTAGATCAACTATTTATGCATAAAAATGAAAATATGTTTTTAACAATATGACCAAACTGCAAGTCTGTCACCCCATTAAAATGCACCTTGTATTGTAACAATTTTATTTTTGAAATATTAAATCATATAAATATATATAATATATATATTTTATTTTTGAAATATCTGATTTGAAATGTCGCTCCAGTTTCATGCATAGATGGGTAAAACACATGAGCAAAGAAACAATCAAAATGCAGAACATGCAACAAATTCATTGCTCAGGTAGATAACTTACTAAGTGCCCTCCATACCTGCCTCCCTCCCACAAAAATATACTTTATTCAACGGGTTTCCATGATCATGCAAATACACTTAATATAGAATGGAAGTGCATTTCTGTCCTTTTGCAACATCTTGTCATAAATAAGCATGCTTCATAACATACATGGCATACAGTATAACCAACTGTATTATATCTCAATACATGATATGCTTCATTTTTACAGAGGATTTCTGGTGACTTTTATACATCATACCACAAAATATATATACTCATACATATCCTTTATACTTCTCATAATTTGTTAAAGGCTACCTAAAGTGCTCATACCCTGAATATACTAGATACTGTAATCCATTACAAAATTTCAACTTTTAAACATGGTTTATAATAATATTCAGGGCTGTTACTAGGCCATTGGCTGCCTGTGTACTTTCCCAAGACTGCTGGCCCCAAATTTTAAAAAAATAAATAAATAAATAAATAAATGCTCAATAATTAATAAAATTTTTATTTCATACTCACTTGCATATCAAAAATTGTATAAAAAATACTTACATATGACAAATACTTACAATGCATTTAACGAATTTAAAATATTTAGGCGTGGTATCGCGAGAGTCCATCTGCCCCCGATTTTGGTTGCCCGTGTACTTTTACATGCTGCCCCCCCCTCGCTAGGAGTGGCCCTGATAATACTCAATAATTTTTACAGTATGAATAAGAAACTGTAATTAGAATAACACTGGTGGCTATACAGTTGTATAAAAATTATAGTACTAATGCCTTAAAGCTACTTACATGCTTAAAAAGCTTCAAGCTTCAAGCTTTGTACTTAAAGCTTCAAGCTACTTACATGAGATAATAAAAACTACTTATACAACATAATGAAACAAAATAACTATATCGCCCGCAAAAAAAAATTATGTATCATCAGGATCTGATTTAAGACAGTCTAAAAAGTTCCAAACTTGTAGTCTGTGGAGTGCATGCAGCTCCTGAAGCAGTTTTGTACAACTCATGAATACATTTTACCTGTGTACTTGTTACAGATAACAATGTCAAAAGTTTGCAGATGACAAGGTTATTCGAATCATATCTAAATTGCTAAGCTTTATCCATGGATGAGCTCCGAATCATCAAGTTTGTTGCAATGCTTTAAGAAAAAGTATAGAGAAATTATTTAGAATAGCGAGCTGAAGTAATTATATAAAGGAGCTGTATTAAAAGAAGTTTTTTTATTTATTTAATAAATGAAACCACAATTTTCACAGCACAAAAATAAATAAAACCACTGAACAGCTAAATAATAATATACAGATAAATTTAACATTTCTTGTCGACTTACTCAGACATTTAAATATTCTCAACAAATATCTACAACTTAAATTTACCTTTCACATTATCTGCTTATATTAAATACTATAATGGTAAATTGCAATTACAGAAAACATAACCTTAAGTCAAAATATTTCATACATTTATAACATCTCAGCCTAGCATTTTAAATGAAAAATCTCAAAATTCTGCAAGATAAATAACATAACTGCTGCAAGAATTTGAAGAAAGACTTATTGATTTTAATGATTTGTAGTGCAATTTTATGTTATTTTCAAAAATCTAAAAATTCTGCAAGAAAAATAACATTAGTACAGCAAGAATTTGAATAAAGACTTATTGATTTTAATGATTTGTAGTGCAATTTTATTATTTTTATTACCATTAATGACTATACATGACTAACACAACAGAAAATCTACAAACAGTGCTAATTAAATTACCAGTGTAATACATATCTTATTCAAAGATTTGAAGCTATACATTTGATTAACTTTATTCAAAAATAACCTGTCAAAATACCCTCAGCACATTTTGCAAGAAAAATAATCACTTTGTTTGGGAGTACAGTTATAATTTAACAGTTCTTTTTCATAAGAATCCAACTGATTGATACACATCTACAGTCCATGATGAAATAGTTTCTAGTACATTTTCTACTAATAAGGCTACAAACTGTACTTAAATCCCATTGCCAAGTGTCAAGTTGTAGGAGAAAATAAACTTGTAAATATTTATATACAAATTTATGTACTTTTTTCTGCGTGTGTCTTTTCCACTGTGAAGTGTAACCAAGAGAAATTTCTTGCAGGTGTAAAAATTTTAATTTAAGATATAAATGTAAATTTGGAGTATTATATTACCATGACATTACTATTATTATTGTTTTGATAAACACATGTAAGAGATCAGGCACTTAAAGAAAATAGGAAAAAGGAATTTAACCAAAAGAAAGTATCTTATTTATGTCAGCATATAAACCTGCATGCAGGAAACACACAAATACATATAACTCTCAGAACGTGTATTCGGCCGCATGTAGTTTGAGACAACTGGTCTAAGACACATAGCACAGTATTCCTTCAGGAGCCCCACTGTTTACTATCCTCGCATTTTCAAGAGAAAAACACTTATAGAATGATTTGAGAGCCCTAAAAAACGCAGCTCCTTAAAGCTGGGCAATAATCAGGCGTGTACATAATGTCACAAGTATGTACAGGTACCGAAGGGAATGAAAAATTTAATATTATCCAGTCCCGAATTTTCCCACACACCATTTAAAACACTATAAACAGAAAGAATCCGCTGGGGGACCACGGAAACATTTTAATAAATGTGTCGACTAATTTTCTTGACTCGGTGAAAAGTAAACCTAAACGTGCTTATTAAAGTAAGCAATAACGTTAGCCCACACTAAAACTTACAAAATCTGCAAACGACGAATATGAGATATCTCTTTTGTCATTCAAGAACTTAAAAAGCATAATCTACACGATTTTGCGTTCACCATATTGTAAATATATGTATGATGATAAACAATATACCTTGAGGACGAAAAAAAGTTTATAACAGGAACGCACTTCAACTAAAATAAATTACACACTACTACAACAGTTTAGAATGACGGTTCGTTAATTTGTACGTTGCCAAATTCAGACATGAAGTTATCTAACACTATCATTGTTGCCAATTTAGATTTATTTACAGCTAAATCTCTAAAACTGGTTGCTTAAATGCGAATTGCATATGCTTATGTAGC